AGATTAGCCTAAAAATCAGCCTGTATTTTTTCCCCTCTACTAGAAGCTCTCTGCTCATTAGACATTCAAGACTTGTTCAGTCTGTTTTCCTGGAAAACTCTAGGCATACAGAGAGCAAACATAATGACATCAGATGCTCAAAGAGCAAAACCTGACTTACTGAGAATGAAGGTTTTTTATTTGTAAAAATAGTTTATTTGCTACTTTTTAAAAGATAGAACAAGTTTGCTTAAAATACACTTATAAATGCATTACTAATTATTTCATAATTATCATTTTAAAATTCTACTCAAAATTCTCCATGTCCTACTTATAACATTTAAAACAAAATTCTACAATATCCAGCATATCTCAAACAAGGCTTGGAAATATGCTTCACTACATTTAATTCAAGCTACTAATGGGCAGAGAAACTCAGTTACACTGAGAATAATCATTAAATATAATCCTCAACTTACAACAATTTGGACTGGAGATCATTAAGTTGTTGCAGTCCTAAGTTGAGACACCCATATTGGGCAGTTGTGAAACAAATAATTACAGTTGTTAAGTGAACCACATTAAATGAACATGTGGTTGTTTAGCAAATCCATTTTTCTGAATGGGTGTTGTTTTTGCCAGAAATTGGCAAAAAGTGTTGCAAATCACGGTCACAGTCATAAAGGTAAGCCAATTGCCATGCTATTATTTATTTATTAAATTTAAATTTAAATTAAATTTAATAAATAAATAATAACATGGCAATTGGCTTACCTTTATGACTGTGACCGTGATGTGATGACCCTGCGTGTGAGTATGTGACATTTTATGAAGGGCAGAAGTGCTTTACAAGCTGTAAAGTACCCATTCGAAGGCCATCATAATTCCAAATAGTCGTAAGTCAAGACTACTTGTCTTTTCTCATCATTATTTTAGAGATAAAAGGAGATGGGTATTTTATTTATCCTAAGGTGTCAGCTAGATAGTATTACTTATCCAATTTGATATCCAAAATACCGTATATTCCGGCGTATAAGACGACCCCCAACTTTTCCAGTTAAAATATAGAGTTTGGGCTATACTCACCGTACAAGACTACCCCTGTTCCAACGCACACCAAATAAAAATTAAAAAACATCAGATTTGATTTCAATATGGTAATTTTAATTCAAATGCTTATGACATGCAGGTACTTAGCAGGAAAACTGTCACTTATAAACATAAGGCTGTTTGTCATCAAACATGTAAAAATAAAACAGTGCAAGTGGATTAAACTTTTCCTAATTCATTCTAAAGCTGAAAGGAAGGATAAGACAATAAACCCATGGGAGCTGCCATGCTATTTGTTTTCTAAGCCAGGGCTTTTCAACCTTTTCACCAATTGTACCACTTTTAGAATATGGCAACATTCGAGTACCACCAGTCACCCAGCAAGGTGTCAAAAGCTTGATGACAAAAAAAAATAAATGGAAAAAAGTGATAAAGTACAGGTAGTCCTCAACTTACAACAGTTTGCTTGGTGACTGTTCAAAGTTACAACGGCACTGGAAAAAGTGACATATGACCATTTTTCACACTTATGACCACTGCAGCATCCCCAGGGTCATGTAATTTACATTTGGATGCTTGACAACCGATTCTTATTTATGATGGTCACATTGTTCCAGGGTCATGTGATCACCTTTTGCAACCTTGTGACAAGCAAAGTTAGTGGGGAAACCAGATTCACTGAACAGCCAGCCATGTTACTAATTTAATCTCTCTCCTTCTTTCTTTCTCTCTCTCCCTCTCTTTCTCTCTCCCTTTCTTTCCTTCTCTCTTTCTTTCTCCCTCCCTCTCTCTTTCTCTCTCCCTTTCTGTCCCTGTCTCCCTTTCTTTTTCTCTCTCCCTGTCTCCCTTTCTCTCTCCCTCTCCCTCCTTCTTTCTCTCTCTCTCTCTCTCCCTGTCTCCCTCTTTCTCTCTCCCTTTCTCCCTCTCCTCTTTCTCTCCCTCTCTCTATTTCTCTTTCCCTCTTTCTCTCCCTCTATTTCTCTCTCCCTCTCAAAGATCCTTAAAATACTTAAAGGCTATGCTTGGGCGGAATACTTTTTCTTTTACAGATGGGGCGGGTGGGCCTGACATTCGCGCGCAGGCAGGACCCCGCCCGCCGAGCCACCGCTTCCCCATCGCCCTCCACGCCAGCCTGCTCCGTCTCCAGACCTCCCAGCTGACGGGTGCAGGTCCGGGGGTCGCCAGCTGACGGGTGCAGGAGTTCTTCGCCTGGAGCAGTTGCAAGGGCTTGCATGGTCCCCAAGGGCCGCTGACGCGCTCCCTGCCGCCGCCGACCATGCAAGTCCTTGCAACTGCTCCAGGCGAAGAAGCAAGCGGCTGGGAGGCCGCGGCGGCGCCTACCTCCTGCGCCCGTCAGCTGGTGACCTCCGGACCTGCGCCTGTCAGCTGGAACGTCAGGCAACGCTTTGGCCGGTGCGGAGAGCGAAGGAGAGGCCGCTGCAGCACCAAACTCCTGCGTCCGTCAGCTGGCGACCCCCGGACCTGCGCCCGTCAGCTGGGAGGTCTGGAGACGGAGCAGGCTGGCGTGGAGGGCGATAGGGAAGCGGTGGCTCGGCGGGCGGGGTCCTGCCTGCGCGCGAATGTCAGGCCCACCCGCCCCATCTGTAAAAGAAAAAGTCTTCCGCCCAAGCATAACGCCAGCAGTTCTGTGCCACAGAGGCTTGAGACACGGAGGCGCGGGACGCGGAGCGGTGCGGTGGGAGGCGGCAGGACGGGGGGAGGGGTTACCTGCATCCTGCCAGCCGAACTCTGGAAGCCTGCCTGAATACCCGTATTTTCCGGCGTATAAGACGACTGGGCGTATAAGACGACCCCCGACTTTTGATAAGATTTTCAGGGTTTAGAAAGTCGTCTTATACGCCGGAAAATACGGTACTTGGATGGCACATTATCAGAAAATCCCAGAGCTGCAGGGTAGATTGTATAATGAAGAAACTTCCTCAAGAAAGAATTGTAATGGTAAGCCACCTCTATACGATTAACAAGAAAACTACATGGACATATTCATGAAGTCACCATGAATCACAATTAAGTTCAAAGAAAATAAGATTTTTAATGCCTGGGATAGTATAGGAAAGAAAATTAATGATAAGCACGTTAGAAATTGAAGGTATGTTTCTATCTTCAAAACAAGGAATGGCAGGGACTTTCACTAATTATTCACCATATCCAAGATTTGTCCAGTAGCCAGTGCTGAATCAGTGAGCAGTAACGAAGCACATGTTTCACAGAATTTCCTATTTAGCATATTATCAATTTATACACTCAGGTCTCCAGTATTCAGAAAACAACACGGAACATAAATGGAGGATTATATATCAATAACTACAAATTCTCCCACAACAAACAAAGTAGTAGCAAAAGAGAGAATCCCAGTTAGCATAAACTCTAGAGCACAGATTTTATTCAAAATCAAGTATCTGAAAATATAACTTTTAATTTAGAGTTAAATTTGAGTTTTCAGTGTTAGCTACAATAAATTATTTACAATATCAGTTAAAACACAAAAATGCCAGTCATGTTTTTTTTTAAAAAAAATAAAGGAAGCACTATGAGCTTGTCCCTACTTCTGCTTCTTAAAATGGCTCCATTAAAATTACAGTAATGGGAAAATATAGTAGGACAGTGCAATCTTCATGTCTATTGTTTTCTGTCTTCTACCAACAAAAATGCTCAGTATTCAGAGAAGCTGCCACGTGAATCTAGTCTGATCCATGCTTTAGTTTTCTTCCCAGGAAGAGGATAAGATCAAAGAAGTTCAGTTTCACAATTGACAGATAATAGTGCGAGTAAATATGAAGGAATAAATATGCAGGGCTAGCTACGTGTGAGGCCCTGAGGACAGAAAGCTTTGGACTGCTATCAGTATTCCCAATGGTCAATGTTCTCCACCCCATATGCTCTCTAATGTCTTCCTTGGCCCTTTCCATAAATGCGTACTTTGAAGGCATTACTGCAGATGCATAGAAGAGAGGCAGGAAATGCAAGGCAGACTTAAGTCAAAATATCCAGAGTAAGGATATTTTCTGCAGCCATACAGTTATCTTTCCACAAAGCAGCTTCTTAAAATGTATTCCTCCAAGATATTTCAACAGCAAATCCTACTGTAATGTTAAATTTGCTTAAAATAAAAGATCACTCACGCAGAGATGCATGAACAGACAGTGTTAACTGACATATTGATTTGAAAAGATGGAGATAAAATTACCATTCACCACAGAAGATGAAACAGCATCCTTCTGCCAAACACCCCCCACCCACCCACTCAATTGACTCAAATGTACATTTCACACACCACAAAAGCAGAAGACTATCAAACAGATCAAATGCAGAGAGAACATTCAGAACTGAGGTGTTAGGATACAAGGCTAATTTAAAAACAAAATGCAACGTTTTCTTCTTTTTATGATCTCTTCCACATGTCAGGACCACCACCTATAATATGAACAGCGGGTGGGGTGGTGGGTAATGTAACCTGAAAGGCTTTGCTCATGTTGAATACGCTATTTCCATTGATATCGTGGAAGGGCAGAATAGCATGGAAGGAGAGCAACTACCCTTTTTTTGCAGAACGAGAAAAAGGAGGATTTCATCACTGGGAAGAGGAAAGGAAAGCAATAAGATCCCCTTAGATCGTTTTCCTTGCAAGAATACGATTTGATAGGGGAGGGGGGCTTTTCTCATCCCCCGGGCGGAGGAAGGCCTCCGTCCTGCTAAGACTGAGAGATGATGCCCAAGCACGAGAAGGTGGCAGCACCTTCATCGGGGCCGCCGTTCCCCAACATGGTGCCCTCCCAATACTCCCCGAGATTACGGCACGAGCACTCTCAGCCAACGTATCCGAAGGCCTAGCTGGCAATCTTGGGAGTCCCATTACACCTATACCCATCTGGACGGTACCGGCCTGGGGATGAATGCTCGGTGCTACCCGCCCGGGCCCCGCCGTGAATGCTCGTGACCCGGCATCTTACCGCGATCACGTTGACGAAGGTGGTCTTGCCCGAGTACTGCAGCCCCACCAGGGTCAGCTCCATCTCCTCCTTCCAAAAGAGCGCCCGGAACCAGTCCAGCAGCTTCGTGAAGAGCGCCAGCATCCTGCCTTCGTCTCCCGGCCCCGATCGCTCAGCGCAGCCAGGCCCAGCGCCTTTATTATCCCCCGGAACGATCCGGCCTTGCCGCTGCAGCCGCCGGGGTCTCGCTCGCCTGGCTCCCGTCGCTCAGCAGCGGTGGATGGGTGGGGTCAGTCAGCAGCTCTCCGGCCGGGGTGGAGCCGCTAATCTCGACGGTTTCTGCGCCTAACCCAGCAGTGGCCTCTAGAGAAGCGGAGGACTCCGCGCCGAGGCGAGGACCTCGATTCCTCCTACCGAGGCCTAGGACGCAGTCGGACGTCAGATCTACTTTGCTTCGCAGTAGAAGCTCAAGATCCGCCCGAGCCAATGGCTGAGGAAGGCTGGCGTTCGTCTGACACACGCCAGCGAGTCACGTTTCAGCGGATTGTGTGAAGCCAGTCGTGTGATTAATTTATGGTTTACCGGGCGTACGGGGACCTTCTGAAATTAGGTTAATTGAATAGATCATGGTTAAATTAATCAAGGGTAAATCTGCTGTGCAAAAACACAGTCATTCCGGCAGCACTCGCACTTGCAGTGTTTCTCAACCTTGACAATTTTAAGGCATGTGGACTTCAACTCCCAGAATCCCACAGCCAGCATTGCTGGCTGTGGAATTCTGGGAGTTGAAGTCCACATGCCTTAAAATTGTCAAGGTTGAGAAACACTGCGAATTAAGGCTCGGGATTGTTGTTTCAAAAGTCTTTAGTACGATACCCTCAAGGGGGCGCCGTTGCTCATGAGGTTAGAATGCTGGGCTAACGATGGGCAGCCTTGAGTTGGAGACCTGTTAAGCAGCGGGGCAGGGTGAGCTCCCACCACAGTTCCAGCTCCTGCAACCCAGCGGTTCGAAAGCAATTGCAAGTAGATAAATGGGTACCACTTTGGTGGACAACTTCATTGGCATACGAAGGGCGTCTCCTGAGTAACGGTGATGTCACTGGCAAATCCTTTCACCACGAAAGCATTTGGACGCTTCCAACACAGAAGAATTACTATGCCCTCAACCACCATATCCTTATTAACTACCTACAACGATTGAAAGATTCTATAGGTAGTCCTTGAATTACAACCATTCGTTTAATGACGATTCAAAGTTGCAATGGCACTGAAAAGTCTTATGAGCAGTTCTCACACTTAGGACTGTTGTAGCATCCCCGTGGTCACATGATCAAAATTTGGATGCTTGGCAACTGGCATGTATTTATGATAGTTGCACTGTGCCAAGGATTTAGTCCTATCTATTTGAAACCGTTTTCTCCATGTTACAAATCAGGAGCTCCAGTCTGCTTCAAAGGGAGCCTGACCTTGGAGTAAGGATACTTCTTGGTAGAATTCCCTTTCCCTTGACATGCAGATCAGTTCTTCTCATCTCTGCTACAGGAAAAGACTAAACACTTATTTTTATACTCAAATGCTTCCTGTTAGGATTCTGGTTTTAACAATTGGTGCTTTTGGATTTTTTTCCTTGCTGTTGTTTTGTTAGTGTTGCTTATGGATTTTATATTTTATGGAGAACAGTATTTTTGCAATCGTTACATTTTATTGCTGATGCTGTTTTACAAGGTTAACTATAGAAGGCTGGTTTTACTGGGGAAAAAACAGGATTTATATATGGTAAACAAATATGAATACTTATCTGAACAAGTGGTGTAAAATTTAAATGCAGCTAGCATTAACTCATGAATTTAACAAGCAGTTTTTGAAAAATAGGTGTTGACCTGTTTGTGCAGGTGTGACAATTTGATGATTTCAACATCTGTCTTAGAGAAATGGCAAAGAAAGACAAATAGCAGAAGCTAGTAAATGAAGTGGAGTCAATCAGTTTAAATTTTGTGGTTCATTTGCCATCTGAAAGATTGCTTTAATCAGGTTTCATTCTCCAATCCCGTGGTGTAATTGCATATCTTCCTTCAAATTATGCTTTTTTCAAAAGCCTTTGATTTCTGCTTCCAGCTATAACTCTTGTTTTCTTCACTCTTGCCAATCGGGTCAAAAGACACTTCTGTTCTAAAATGCATGGTAGAGTTTATCTTTTGAACTATGGAAATCTTAGAGCCGAAATCACTTTTATGGGATCTTTGTTTTTTGTTTTTAAACAAACAAACCAGATAAAGTAAAAGGTAGTAGCTTAACAGATAATGCCAGCTGGCTTCTGCACTCCTTAAACTAAATCCTGAATGATCTGTATACTGTATAAAAATACAAATCTGTATCTGAGTTAGTGCAAATGAGAAGTGTTACGCTTTAATTATAGGAGAAGCAAACAGCTATTTTGTTCCCATTGGGAAAAAAAATTGAGATCATTGCCTCTTCCAAATCCTACAAAAATCTATAGGAAGACTGTAGTTTAGTTTTGATCAATCTGTATCTTAGAAAGTTAGACAAAATAACATTGTCTCTCCTTAATTATAACTGCAACCACTTGACTCTATTTATTTGTTGAATTTATATAGCTGCCTGTGTCACAGATGTGATCCTGGGGAGTCTACAATAAAACAAATGGTTAAAAACAAGTATAAATAACCTTTAGCAGCAATTAAATATACATAAAATTGTGAGAGAATGGACCAACATCATGTTTGGGACTGTCAACTCCATTGTTAAGTGACATGGTCATAAAGTGAAATGCCATGTGGCTTGCTGATTGACATCAGTTCCACATGCTATCATTAAGCAACTCACCTACAATTGCTAAGCAAGTCACAGTTGTCATATAACTGCGAGTTTGCAATTCCTGCTATCTTCCCAATTGAGTTTGCTTGTTGGAAATCGGCTGACAAGGTTGCGAATGGCAATTATGTGACTGTGTCTGTGATATCCTGCAACATCATAAATGTACACCAGTTGCCTAAATTGTAATCACATGACCATGGGGACACTACAACAGCTGCAGCTTTGGGGACCATCATAAGTCTCCTTTTTCAACACCATTGTAACTTTGAATAGTTGCTGAATGAGTGGTCAATAAGTGAGGACTACCTGAATACAATATAGCCATCTTGCAGGCTCCCTGTCTCCATGGGATTGCCCAGGCTGCTGGAAAACCTTGTTTTGAGAGATTTCCACAAGATTAATATGGTCAGAGCTAACCATTTCCGGCAGCTTCCATGACAGAAAAGAGTCCCCTGGGTCCGATCAGATGGATTTTTTTAGCAGATGGGACCCATAACCTATCCTTCCTGCCAGATCTGATGGGACAGGTAGATGATATAACAGAGGATAGGTGGTCCATCAAATGACCTGGTCCCATTCCATGTAGTTTTAAAGATCTAAAGACTCTAGCCAGATGGAAACCCAATGTCCTTTATTATATAATGACATTATCCATGTAGCTATGAATAAAAGTCATAGCTTTTTTAAGATTTGAAGAATAAGGATTATCCTTCCACGATATTTATGCAGTAATAACACTGGTTAAATTTACAGAACAAAGTAACTTTTTCACTAAGGCTACTGAACAGGAAATTTGTTATTTTTAAGAAGTATATGTACTATAAAACTGGTACCTCCAAATAGTGTAGCATTATGGCTGAATTAAAAAAGAATATTTTTAGAACATGTTCTGTGGATGAGTGAGAAATCAGGTCCACCATCTCTATTTGCATAATCATATCTAAGGAAACTATGTATTCCATTCCCAGCACTTAGCTCTTAATCCTTTTCTTGCCCCAAAGAAAGAAGTAACAGATAATCCTCATTTAGTGTCTGCCTCAGATAGCAACTATTCACATTTACAATGATGATAATGCCTGCATTTAAGATCTTTGCAACATCTTTCTCTCTCAGTCTGGTGTTTGCCAATGCAGTCAGTTAGTATGCATTATCCAGTGTCGGATCTGTGTTTTTTTCCTCCCACCTTTCAGAATAGAAAGATTGCCTAAAACAAATGATCTCTTCCTGAGCTCATTCCTAGCAGGTACTAACTAACTACAAGTTAACAAGCACAACTCTGTGACCTTAATTGTTAATTAGAACAGAAGGCTTAGTAGGCTTGCAGCTGTTGCCTGAAATTGACAAGATCCTGATCAGTTTCATAAAGGTTTGTTTGCCTCCTAAGCAGCTTGCACTTACAGCTCTGAGATGCTATACAAAAAAACAGCACTAGCACATTCCTTTCGATTTATATTTCCGATTGTGTGCCTGCTTATTCTCTTTGCTTCCTCTGCAATAAATATAAATGCAAACATCTATTCTCTTCTTGCTAATGATCCCCGCCCTGGGGTGTTACAGTAGGGAAAAGGGCTATCAGATTTGCCCTATTGCCTGGCTTTCTCATAGTTGAGTTCGTATCCTTCTAATACCATATAGCAGGGGTGTCAAACTGCCGACCCGCGGGCTGGTTTCATCATACCGGAGCCGCGCCCACTCCATTGCCAGCAATGGCGAAAAAGCTCCAATACATTGCGCGACGTCCCGTGACGTTGCGAGTTTGACATGTCTGCCATAAAGCAAAGTAAAAATGGAAGCCTGGTTGTTGTTTTTTAATCATGTGACCATTAAAAATTACAATTACAGCAATAAAAACTAATTCAAATGAAAAAAAGAAAAAAGAAAAAATAGGTGCAAAAAAAGAAAAAATAGGGAAGAAAGAAAAAGACTAAAATGGGAAAAATAAATATATAAATACTTTCCCCTTCATCACAAGTATAAACAATGTTAGTTTAAAATACAGTATGTCATCTCTTCTTCCATCTGTAAACAAAATGTCAAGGCTTCATCATTTCAGTACTGATATCAGCAAAAGTCCATTAAAGGTATCAGAGGTAACATATCTATTTTAACCTTGATTTAAAAAAAACTTTAAAATCTTTCCTTTTTCTTCTAATAGTCTTGATCTTTAGTCTCTTCAGGGATTGGAATGGAGTGATTTCCCTATAACTGGTTAAACTTTAGAGAAAATGTTAGACTCAACCAAGATTTGAGCAAGATAAAAGTTTTGCGAAGCTTATCCTGAAGTTGCCACCTTTGCACGCAGGTGGCTGGATGCCCCAAAGCCTAGCAAGAGCCAGGTGAGGTTTGCAACCTCCCAATTTCCAGTTGATTAGGGCAGAAACC